TTCAGTATCTCTCACCTTTTTCTTCCATGCAAAACATAAGTCAAACCTAGCTCTGAATCACATAGCTAGGAGAATCAAAGACGTGGCTAGACCCTAATTTATGACTCCTTGCGTTGACTGTTCATTCATTATATCACCAATTGGATTTTGGATTTCATCAGGAACCGGGTGACTGAATGGCGGATGCTGTCAAATGTCAACTCTTTTTTTTGTTTTCTTTCGTTATCATTAATTTGAGCATACACCTAATAAAAGAATTTTGAATCACCTTTTTCAAATAATCTGAACTTTTATCCCCCAAGTCTTAGTAGAGAGAGGAAAGGGAAAAAGATCAAGATAGAGAGAGAAAGAGAAACAGGGGGACCAAGTTTGTAGCTTTTTGTTTCAATCGTTTGTCCCTGTTTTTTTTAATGGGGGTCAATGTAGGAATCATGGAAACCATCAAAACCCCAACCCTTTTAAGTTTCTAGGGTAAAGATAGAAATTTAGGTTTTGTATTTTCTTGAAAAATGGGGGAATGGAGACAGAAGCAGTAGTAGGGGTTTTAATATGGGAGGCGGAGACGATGACTCAGGGGAAGCACCCGCACCTGCACCTTCACCTTCACCTGCGACGTTCTTGGAGTCTGATATTGCAGTGGGTATGAACATGCAGCACGCTGTATCATCTTTTAACCTTCGTAACAAGATCACCAATTTCATGCCTCCTTCTTCATATTACCACCACAACCAGCTTCACAATCATCAAGCTTCGACTGAAATTGGTGGTGGGCGTAGTCTTCGGTAATAAGCTATAAGTATCAATTATCAAAATTTCATACTTTTTCTTTGTGCCGGATTTTCAATTGTTTATCATGTTGAGTGTAAAGAGAAGACCCTTTTCTGTAATGTGGAATACAGGGTCAGACAGTGGTGGAGCAACGGAAGTTTCAGGGAAAGTACTTTTCACTGCGACTCAGTGGCAAGAGCTTGAGAGGCAGACGATGATCTATAAGTACATTATGGCTTCTATCCCTGTTCCCCCTCAGCTCTTAATACCTTTGTCCACTCAATCCAACAGTACTTTCTTTTCTTTATTTTAATCCGATATTCACTTCCCCCCTTTTTCCATCAAACTATTTGTTTATTTGTTTGAAACTTGGAAAAAAGGAGGCACCTTTTCCTTTTCCTTTGATTTTTTTAATCCGTCAAAAAGTGGAGATGAGTAATTTGATTTTGGTAAATTTGGGCATCGTAGAGGGGGGCATGGACATGAGATTCTCAAGCGGGTCGGATCCGGAGCCATGGAGGTGTAGAAGAACCGATGGAAAGAAATGGAGATGTTCGAGGGATGTAGCACCTGACCAGAAATACTGCGAGCGTCATGCCCACAAAAGTAGACCCCGTTCAAGAAAGCCTGTGGAAATTCAACCCCACAACACTAACATTACAACAAGCGCCCTCAACATTACTCCTACTTCGTATACAAATACTCTTACAACTTCTTCATATCAACATCCCAGGTGAGTGTTCTATCGTTGTTACTAACTATCAGTTTGTTTGTCTTCTAATTTTATGGGTATTTGATGGTTTCTTGCATGAATACGTGAAGTTGGGCGATCCCTGTATCTGTATCTTCATCGAACCAACAATTTCAGGAATCATTGAATCACTCACCCAGAGTAGGATCGAAAAGGAACCATAATTTTCCTCAAGAACATGAATCCCACAACAACAACTACAGTAATATTTTGGATACTACTAGTACTGCAGGTGTTAGGAGGCAGAATTTCATTGATGCTTGGTCGAGAAGTACCGGAGGAGGGGACAACTGTTCTCTTACTTTGTCAATGCAATGTAGTGGTGGGATTGATGATGATGATCACAATTTTGAAATTGGAATGTTGGATGTGGAAAGAGAAGGGAAATCGCATAACCAGTGGTTGTTGAACCAGAGTTGTTGGATGGGTTCACGTTCAACACCTGGTGGACCATTGGGTGAAGCATTGGGCCTGGGTATTGCTAGTAGTACTGTGAATGGGCCTTTGAGTGGGCCATCTTTTCATGGCCATAGTAGTAGTAGTAGTAGTAGTAGTACAACTACAAGCAGCTTGTGCGAGAATGGTGACACACATGGCCATGAACTTAGCTTCATTAGGTGAACCTGAAACCATGGAAAGCTATGATCAATGGGGTCCATCTTGTGTTTTGTAGTTGAAAATTTCTGAGACTACTTGGGTTTCATTTTACTTAACAATTTTATTTGCCATAGACCATAGTTCATCTTTTTATAATGCCAATGAATCATGTAGAATGAATGACAATTTTATTGTTGATTTTAGTCTTTAGTTTTTATGCAAGATTTCTTTGTTTGTCATTTGGTCTTTTGGAATATTTCTCACTATAATGGCCCACTAGGTGGTTGGTATAAATGTTCAAGAGTCCATAGGCAATCCAATCCACAATGGAATTGGAATTCCTACATGGATTAAACCCTTGAGACTCAAAATTTTGCATGTTTCTAAAAAGATACCACCCCTTAATTATACATTGCACTTGGCTCATGTTAGCATGCCCATGTTCAATAAATATTACAATAGTTGGAAACAATGAAGAGAATAGATTTAATACAAGATATATGAAAATGGCAACAAATGGAACCCTAATTTCTTTTGTTTCGGTTCATCAAACATCACCTAAACTTGATGCTACTTCTTCTCTATGTTATGTCGACATGCCACTAATTAACTCACCTAAGCCACCTTCTTAAATCAGTAGTAGAACAAGGTGAAAGCTCTCCACCATTAGTGCTGTCTGCATAATACCATTGCTGTCCCATACCAACATGACCCACTTGGACACTCTTGAAGCTTGGACTCCTCAAGTTATGGCCATAATTATGATCAGAGTAATAATGACCCTTGTACCCCTCACTGCCATTGTCACATGGATCAGGGATGGGGTATGCTAGTCTTTTCTTAGCAGACCCCACTCGTTCCCTCTCTGGTGTTGCGGGTCTCTGTCTAGGTGTGCTTTGCGACCTTATCTTTGCTTTCGCAGACTCTGTAGCAGCCATGTAGTTAGGTATTGCTATGTCGTTTACACACGTGCTATACCTAAACATGGACCCACTGACACGTGGGGTTGAGCGTAGGCTATGTATGTTTGCATTCAAGTAATTTCTCTCCTCTTTTGAACAATGCGGACTTGCTGACCGGATCTGTAATGGTCTGGTCTTGATCGGAGATGGTGTGATGGGTTGTTGACCTGTTGAAGGACTGTAGCTTGATCTTCGACTCGGTGAGTTGGGGATGTAATGTGAAGCATGGTATTGTTGTAATTTGTAAGCGCTTGTACCTGAGCGAGAATTGGGTCTTGAAGTATCGATTTCAACGGTTTTTATTGAGTCCCTTCTGTCTAAAGAAGCTCTGCTGGTTCTCTGGTTTTCCCATTGCTTTGCTTCTATCCACCGATCTAACCAACTAGCACTTTCTTCAAGCTCTTTTTTCATCCATGCTAGATGGGTTTCTGTTGAGTTTCTGCATCTTGATATGGGTTTTCGTTAGCGAGTCTAAAGAAAAGAACATGGCCATGAAATCTAATTACGATCGAGCCAGCTATAAGTGTACCTGTTGGGAGAAAGCTGTAGCAAGAGACGCTTCACGTTCCTTTCTGCTCTGTAATATCGCATCCAGCTCTTCAAGAGAGTGTGGTCTGTCACTCCAATCATCTGGAATGCAACTTCCGTCTCTGGACTGTTATGTAAAATCGTTAAAGGACTTAAAGAAACACTGTCTCTTTAGTGTAAAGGCAATATATATAGAGAAAGCTATACTTACCATGGACTTCCTTTGTCGTATATCTTGAAGGTATTTGGATTCCAAGAAAGTTGGTGTTTCTGCCATCACTGACTTTCTACCTCCGTCATGTGAGAGCCTGGATCGTTGATCATGTAGTCGTGATTGTACTCGTAAAAGTGCCTGCATGCATCTTAAAGTGATGGTTGCTTGCTTTCTTACATTCTGACCTCGAATCACTGCTTGAAGCATCACTATCCCCTTCAGTGCTCGTAGTGCTCTTCTTGCCTTCAACCACAGTAAAAGCACATTCAAATTCAGAATTAATCAGAAATATGATGGACCCACCACAAGTTATGTTTGTCACGTGACATACGAATATGAAAATTCATAGCTCGTCGTTTGTCGTGATTTCTTTAATTCATCGTACATCTCTCTCATGTGAAAGAAACAACAAAAGACAAAAGAATATAAATATATTTCTTGAAACTTTAAAGAATATTTATATATATGTGAAGTAGTTAACGTTATAAGACTGTTGCCTCTGCCATCGTGCCCTACTCACATGGTTGTGATATATGGCTTAAATTCCATGTTACTATGATAATATTGTTTAATGAATAGTTGTGAGTTTGCAATCAGTATTATCTGTTTATCTTATAGTAAAATGAGATCTTTACGATAACTTGTGCACTGGCACGTGAGTTTCTGCACCAAGTACCCTGTCAACTACCAGAAATTAAGTAATATGTGTCCAGAAACCATTACATCCAGGAACTAAGGACTTCATTTTAATTTTTGTTTGCTTTTTATGCTCTAACTAAATCCAATATAATCGGCTACTTAGCGTAGATTATGGTTTTGTTTTCATAAATTAGATGACTTATACGCAAATTTGTTTACCGAGACAGAAACATAAACCCAGTAGACCATTTCAAACCGAGTAGAAAGATCTGTATGCTATGTAAAAGGAGGAAAGGATTACCAGGTAGCCACGGAAAGATGTCTGAATGAGAATGGCAGCGAAATGGTGCTTAACAGAAATGGGAGAAGGTCTGGTGGTGAGACGAATAATCTCCGCAGCTGCATGGGCGGTAGTGGCAGCAGCTTCAGCCGCTTTAATGGTGGCTGCCGCCATTAAAATGGCACGCTTTTCCTCCTCTGCAGCGAGGTCATGGACAGCATGTTTAGGTTGTGGAACATCGTTACTTGATACATTATCTCTCACTTGACTCGGTATTTGTACAGCATTTGATGATTTTCTAAACAACCATCTTCTCTTCTCCCTCTTCTGCAACAAAACCATAATCAATATATTCACAAAGATATATAGAAAGCCTGACCCTGTGCATGTGTTGTGTGTAAAGTAGAAGTGGTGTTATATATACGTACCCTGTCCTCTTCTTGATCGAAATCTTGATCTTGATTCTTTGATTTATTTGGACTAAAAGCTCTCTTGACTGCGGTAAACCACGAACCACTTCCTTTCTTTCCCATATCAAGAGATGATGAAGGTGGGAATAGAATGAAGAAGATATGGTAAGAGATATATATATATATATATTTAAGCTAAACTGATGATGGGGTGGGGTGGGGTGGGGGTGGGGGTGGGTGTGCTCAAGTGTCCAATGAGGTTTTGAATCAGGCATCCACCCCACTGAGGGACGGGTTGCGTAAGAATCCAAAGACCATTGTGAGGGGTGTGGGATTCTTGTTTATCATGAACAGAAGCCATGAGGGTACTCTCATTATTTAATAACAACAATCAAGTATGAGACCACAAAAGCTCTCACTGACTGATTTCACGTGGTCACGTACAAGCCCCAATGACACTCGATACCCGATATCAGTGTGGGTCTGGGTCTCTCTCTCTCTCTCTCCTCTCTCTCCTCTCCTCTCTCTCTCTCTCTCTCTCTCTCTCTCTCTCTCTCTCTCTCTCTCTCTCTCTCTCTCTCTCTCTCTCTCTCTCTCTCTCTCTCTCTCTCTCTCTCTCTCTCTCTCTCTCTCTCTCTCTATGGAGGTTGGGAATCTCTCTCCCCTCGTTGGGAGTTAGGCAGGTGGACTCGGTCAAATGTTTACTTTATTTGGTTTGACGTTACTCTTGCTCCCTCGTTTTGTGCATTCATGGCCTGGTTGGGTTTTTCCAGATCGCATCCGATTGGGGTAAGAATCATTGTGCTGATTCCTATGTCATTTCAGTCTCTAGCAGAAATCTCATTGGTGTTATCATGACACTTGGCCATTAACAAACGCTAGTTACGTCTTATCCAATGTCCATACTCGTATTTATATGCTTATATACTTGCCTAATATATATACTTTTTTTATTCATGAATATAACACATATGGATATTAGCAGTGTTTCCTATAATATACAAGAGATAACGAGATAAAGTATCATCAAGTACTAATATCAAATCAAGAATTGGTATAATTAAATGTGAAGAGTAGGTAGTTGCACCAACCAAATAGCTTTTGCAATGGTCCCCTACCTTACCTCGTTTGCTCCCTCGTATCTAAATGTTATCCCATCAACTCTTTATATGTTTATTAACTTAAAAATAACGACATGTATTTCATTTATTTATTCTTTTTGTTGTGGTGTGGATACCTTAGTTCATATGGTCCTAATCTAGCTATCAACCCCGTATATGAATATGGCAAATTTTCTTTTATAAAAATAGTATATAACAAGTTAACATATGAGTCCATCACTACTCCTTAACGGATTGTCCTCGGTTTAATTGCTGCGATGACAATTTGTTTTGGATCTTAATTGCATGATTCCAAATGAATACAATCTCTAACAAACGAAACTAAACATGAAGCAACTACACAACAAGTAGAAAGCTTTTCAGTACTACGTAAAAACCTTATCCTAGCCACCCTGATAAAGCCTCCTAAGATTTGAATACCATGCCAATATTCATTTCAATATATTTACTTTTTTAATAGCAACATTGAGAAACATATACTCTAATTGCAAATTTTTGTTAACCAAGTCTACCGTGAATAGTATTTTAGCGCAAGCTCTTGGAATAGGAACAAAACATGGGCTTTTGTCTTTGACTATAAGATTGTCGATTGTTGAACAACAAACTCAAACATATGTGAAATTGGGCCCCTCCACGACATGGGCAATATACAGTTGCCCACCTCGCACACTCTTAGAGACCCCCTACTGATTATTAACAAGGTGTGCACATCAAACACATTGCTAATTATTATGATAGATATTAAACTCACCTCAAAATATTCCCATTGTTTTAATGTGTATATATAGTACATAGATATACAAAATAAGTATAACAAATACAAAACCAACCTAAAATACAAATTTTAAACAATATAACGTGATAAGCCAGGGCTTATCTATAATACCCCCCGTCAAGCTGAGTGGTACATGGTAAATCAACATGAACCTTGGTAGTGAATCGTTCAAAGAGAGGACGTGGAAGACTCTTCATGAATATGCCAACTAGTTGTAGATATGCAGGGACAAATTGAGTATGTAGCTTTCTAGACGCATCAAGTTCACTACAAAGTGATAGTCAATATCGATGTGTTTTGCCCATTTGTGTAAAATAGGATTTGACTGAGAAACAAAGCGCTTCTGTTGTCGTAGAGTAAAGTAGGACAATCTGGAGGTAATGCATGAAGCTCTCGAAGTAGATGACTTACCTAGACAATTTCAGCAGCAGAGTTCACCATGGCACGATATTCAGATTCATAACTAGAACGGTAAATTGTGGGTTGCTTTTTAGCACTCCAAGAAACTAATTTCCACCAAGAAATATGGAATATCCATATGTAAAACGTCGAGTTTCAATGCAACAACCCTAATCCGCATCTGAGTAACCAATTAACGAATGTGACGGGGGATGCTGAACGTGTAACACAAAAGAGATAATACCTTTGACATACCGAGTGATACATTTGACTGCCTACAAATGATCAATGGTTGGAACATGAAGAAACTGGCTCACTTGGTTGTCGACATATGATAAGTCGGGATGAGTGATGAGTGGATCTGATGTTGAAGAGTAGAAACCGGTTTCAAGTCAAGCAAGTCAGCATGTGCAAGAATGTCGTGAGCATACTTGGTTTGGGTTAGAAAAAGGCCACTATCGGTGTAGGAAACTTCATATCTGAGAAAATAGCTTAGCTTACCCAGATCCTTAGTAGCAAATTCATTATTGAGACGATTAATGAAGGTATGGATAAGTGCAGTATTTTTGCCGGTAAGGATGATGTCGTCCACATAAAAAAGAAGGTATAACAGGTTGGAGTCGTGTTTTAAAAAAACAGGGAGGTGTCTGCATGACTACACACGAACCCCAAACCAAGTAAGAATGTGCTAAGTCTTTGAAACTAGGAACGAGTGCTTGTTTAAGGTCATACAATGCCTTTTTTATGCAGAAAACATGATAAGGAAAATATTTCATCAATATAGTCGGGCGGTTGCTCTATAAACACAATGTCAGAGAGATGCCCATTTAGAAACACATTTTTTATATCGAGCTGATGTAATGACCATTTATATAAAACAACAAGAGATAACACAATACACACAGTTAAGTCTTTGACAACTGGATTGAATGTGTATGAATAATCAATGTTGGGGATCTATGAGAAGCCTTGAGCGACTAACCAAGCTTTAAGACATTGAACTGTGCCATCATCTCATAATTTGGTATGAAAGATCCATTTAGAACTGATTTTTGGCTTAGGAACCAAGTCACATGTGTTATTGTGGTGTAAAGCAGTCATTTCATCTTCCATAGCCATGAGCCAATGCAGATTTTTCGTAGCTGATTTGAAGCCTTTAGGTTTTATAGTAGAGAATCGTGCTTGATGTAGCCGAGAATGTTGAAGCTAAGTGAGATCAACAATTTGATTTGGTTTGAAAGTGCTTGCACGAGATTTTGGTCACCATAGGATGAAAATTGGTGGAAGATGTTGCACCAGGAGCAGTAGAAGACAACATTGTTGGCGACGAGGCAGCTGAAGATGAAGGCGGCTGGGCTGCTGTCACTGTTGTTGTTGATGTCGATTCGACAATGGGAAGAGTTGTAGTTGGCTCATGGAGGGCTGAAACAACATGCTTAGATGGGCATATCAAGCAATGTGAAACTAGGTTTGGCGTTTTTTTTTTTTTTTTTTTTTTTGTTTTTTTTAAGGTGTGGCCAAACGAGAAGCAAAGTTAGTTGGTTTCCTGTGGTGAATGACCGGTAAAAAGAAAATGTTGCTCATTAAACCGTGCATGAAGGGTTGTATAGATACAATTTGTTGATGGATCCAGACAATAATAACCTTTATATTACGTATTGTATCTTATGAAGATGCAAGATACACTATGGGGAGCAAGTTTGTGAGGTGAGTAGTCCCATAGATATTGGAAAACTCGGCATCCAAATGTGCGAAAAGCATCGTAATTTGACGTAGTGTGAAATGGCAACTCCAAAAAACTATTGTCATCAAGTAACTTTGTAGGCAGACGGTTGATGATATAAACAACATTGCTAAAAGCATCAACCCAATAAGTTGTAGGAGCATGGGCATTAAAGAGCAGACCATATTTCACGAGAGTTTTTTAGGCCAATATTCTCTGCCATAGATTCTTCATAGATTATTGATTAGAGAATCAGGAGGGTTTGTTGATCACCAGCAACCCACATCGCATAATCTGGGTTCGGAGAAGAGACACCTATCTTACATTATGAAGCTATTAGAATGGTTTATGTTGGTTTAAGATGTAATGGAATTGGTTAATGCAAGTAAGGATCAAAATGTGATTGAAAAGGAATGGAATTAAGAAATCCAACGATTTCAGCAACACGGTTAAGGAATTTCCACGACGGGGGGATTGAGGCGGTGATTTGGTGCATTTCTCCGTCGTAAGTCGTAGGAAATATACTTTGGTCGGCGACGTTGGGGTATAGACGCCTCGATGCAGAAAGCAAAGTACGTTGCTGTGCAGTTTGGTCGCCACGGCGTGGAAAAAGAGCTGATCACGACTTTATTTAAGGTTCCGCGGCACAGATTCGAACATATTAAATTCTGAGTTAGGGCCCATTTGTTCACATATGCCCTCTATCTTCTCTAGAGCTAAGGGTCCGACGATTTTAAGGTTAAGAAGGTTTAAAGGGTGATTTATCTTGCTTTGGACTAGGTAAGAGCATCTCAAACCCTTGTAGTGATCATTTTCTTCATTTCCAAGCTTTTGAGGGTGTTAATGGTGAAATCCAACTTAGGTTTTTATATGCTAGATTCTTCCGAGTAATATTGCTATTAATGTTAGATTAAGTGTTTAGAAGCTTAAACTATGAATTGTATGAAGTTATAATGGTTGAAACCATGATTTGATTCTAGGGTTTTGAAACCGTAGAAATGAAAATGAAGACGGTGATGACTTTATGGCTCAATCTGGTCAAGATAAATGTTGGTTAGCTTGAATAGCATAGTATGACAAACATTTGAGTAAATAACAGCTAAGTTGGGGTTTTTGTATGAGTTTTT